AAAGACACTTCCACGAAACACTAGCAAGTGAAGCAGAACAGGCTGCAGGTAGGACAGACAGAGACCTGATAACATTGTATCAAATCACCAGGTTGCTATTTGGGAAGAGATCAACGCAGACGAAACCAATAAAAGATGATGAAGGAAATTTAATTACGAAAAAAGAGAAACAAAGGAAACGATGGGCCGACCACTTCAAGAAGCTCTTGAATCGACCAACACCTAAACTTCGTCCTGAAATACCACCTACAGCCGCTGAACTACAAGTGAACATAAATCCTCCAACAAAAATGGAAGTCCTGAAAGCAAAGCCATAAAGCTACTGAAATGTGGGAAAGCAGCAGGACCAGATGGGATCCCACCAGATGCACTGAAAACAGACGCACAGACAACAGCGGACATGCTCACACTACACCACTATTGCAGAAGGTGTGGAAGGAAGAGAAGGTACCTGAACATTGACTGGAAGAAGGGTTACCTTGTCAAACTCCCGAAGAAGAGACCTGTGTTTGCAAGAACTGGTGCGGAATCACTCTCCTGTCCACCCACAGCAAGCAAAATATTAAGCCGCATCATCCTGGAGAGGCTAAAGGATGCACTGGATTCAAAACTACGATCGGAACAGGCAGGCTAGCTTCAGGAAGTACAAATCATGTGTGGACCAAATTGCAACACTACACTACGCATCATCATAGAACAGAGCATAGAATGGCAGTCAACTCAAATCTCTACCTCAACTTCATAGACTTTGAGAAGGCCTTTTACAGCATCGACCGACAAGTAATTTGGAAACTGCTTCAATACTACGGAATACCACAAAACTTTATCAGCCTCATTCAACAGCAGCTATATGAAGACCCCACATGCCAGCCAAGTGATTCACAATGGGAAGCTCAGTGATGCTTTTGAAGTGAAGACAGGAGTGAAACAAGGTTGCCTACTATCACCCATGATATTCCTGATTGTGGTCGACTGAATCATGTAACAAACAGTGGGGAGCGAGAACAGGGGGATACCTTGGCTGGACTGCAGAAAAGAACCTAGAAGTTCTGGATTTCGCCGATGACTTGTGCCTGATGTCACACAAGCTTGAAGATCTACAGGCGAAAACTAACAAGTTGGCAGAAGAGGCAGCGAAGGAAGACGGAACTTCAGGTAAATATAGAGAAGACAGAAGTGATGAAGATACCGCACCAACAACAACAACAACAAACTCCAATCACCATCATTGGGGGAAACTTAAAGGAAGTAACCTCCTTCACCAGGCAACACTGTTTCAACTACAGGTGGAGGCACAGACGAGGATGTCAAAGTCAGAATCGGAAAGACAGCAAGACGTGTTCATTAGCCTGAAACCAGTATGGAGATCTTCTGCACTCCACTCAACATGTGGAACAACATCCGGATTTTCAACACCAACGTCAAGTCAGTGCTTCTGTATGGATCAGAGACTTGGCGCGTTACGAAAGGGATTTCCAACAAACTACAGATATTTATCAGCAAGTGCCTACTCTCGTTACTGAAGATCAGATGACCAGAATAATATGAATAAGCAACAAGTAACTCTGACAACGAACCAACCAAGAACCTATCACCCAACAAATATGCAGAAGGAAGTGGAGATGGATTAGGCATACACTGAGAAGGCCGACTGGGGACATCATGCGTCAAGCCCTCGAGTGGAATCCCCATGGGAAGCGACGAGTTGGACGTCCGAGGTGAGGGTGACATGGAGGAGATCGTGTGAGGAGGAAATGAGAGCTTCTGGGCTGTCGTGGAGCCAGGTTCAAAAGATTGCAGAGAACAGAGTTCACTCGAGACGTACTACTGAAGCCGTATGTTCCTTTAGGAACCCAGGGGACTAATAATAATACCTCCATGCTTGAAAACTCCGGGTGGCAGACTGTCAGGCCCTGCTGCTTTGCATCATTTCAGGTTCGATAAAGCTTTCTCAACTTCAAGGAGAGTTGAAGGACCGGAATCTACTTCCCATTCAGGTTCAGGCTGGATGTTGGGTAACTGAAGCGTCGCTGAGGGCCAGTTGAACTGTGCTTCAAAGTGTTTTGTTCAACGTTCTAGCCATCTGTCCTGGGAGGTTATCAGCATCCCATCCTTCTCGGTGGTGGTTTAACTGACCATCGCCTTTTTGTCAGCATCCTTAATAAGCCTAAATAGTTGCTGAGTGTTGACCCACCATTGATGCCTTCCCTACCTTTCTTACTCTTGCCACCTACCCCTGCTCACAGTTGACGGGAAGACTCTTGGTTAACTTACATTTGAGTTGCTTTCCCTCTTTGCTGTGGTCAGAACCAGCTGGAATCAATCTTCTAGCATCAACCATTTCGGATGACGTCGCGAAAATCTAATGACATTTGCTAACCTTAGGGTGTAGGTTAACAACTGGCTTCACTGCTGTTTCTATAGTAGACTTAATATCAAGCCAGGTGTCCACAGGATGATTATGGCTGTCACGTTCAGATAAATGCTAAGCTATCTCTTCCTTTAATTCAGACTCGACTTCCAATCGATTACAGATAGGCTTTACTACCGCCTGTTTTCTGCAACCAGTACGGTGCAGATATACATGAGCCCGTACTAGCGAGTTGTCCGAGTCTAAACTGGCACTCCAGAAAAAGCCGCAATCCTCCACCGATCCTCTCCAGCCATAGTTTATAATAATGTGATCTATCTATGCCCATTCTTGGTTTGAAGTCGGTGGATGTCATATGAAACTGTCTCTACTTACGCCTAAAGTTAATGATGGCCAGAAACAAGTGATTTTCGGAACGAAATTGCAGCAGACGACCACCGTTGTCGGTTCATTAGTATGCAGTTCCGTAGATACCTCTCAGATGCCTTTCCGATTGGCTCAGATTCCCTACATGAAAATTAAAGTCACCTGCCATCACGGCATCTGAAAGAATTGCTTTTTGTAGCAAAATTGACAGTCTCACAAAATTCATCCTTTGCAACATCCGAACTAGGTGGAGATCACAAACAGGGGTCGTCTAGTCTCACGATCCTTCGTAGTCCTTACAGATCCATTCAGTCGAACAGGACATAGACGGCTGTTGATTGGTATCCAGTCGAGAAGCGCACTTACTGCTTTACGAATCAATCTTATGCCCACACCAGAAAGTCCTTGAGAGCTAGTCGTCAGGTCTCTGGATACTCATAAGGTGAATTTTGAAGACTCACTATTATCCCTCCTTCCCGCTTTTCCGTTGGTAAGCCACCAGCAGCGTGGCACTGCTGGTCATTCAAGAGAAATACCTTACTGCAGTTACACCCCATTCAGCTAGCAACAGTACTTTTCCCTCAGAGCCCCATCATAGTGTAGTAATTTACACTTTAATGGTAACTGCTTTTCTTCTTACCATTACCTAACAAACCTTTCTGGCATGGTAGAACCTTGAGGGATCAAGTGTTTCACCAGGATAACTAGTTGGGTCATTGTGATATGCAATACCGACCACCACGTCAAGGTATCGATTAGATAATAATTTTTCAAGTACATATATGAAACTAGTCGAAATGTGTCACCCAGGTTAGCAGAATAGATTTATAGACTAATAAAATGAGTAGTGCGGAAGAGAATATAGCAATAGCTATGTACGCGATGACACACTAAACAATAGAGTCGGACAGAATTACAGTTCTGAAGACTAATGTAGTTTAGCTGAGATCGATCGCTAAATTTCAGTTCACTGGCTTAACCCCGAACACATGAAATCGCAATCACGCAACATCGATTCCGGGTGTGTAGGAAATTTCACAATCAATTAAATCAAAGAATGAAAATACAACCATAAAACTAGATCATAAAGTTGTGGGATTCATTTGATATGATTGTGAGCAACAGATTTTACCCGAAACGTAATCTAGTAAATAAGACTATACCATTACGCGCTATATCGTCAAATAGACTGATATGAAATATCGATATGTAATACCATAAACTCTGTACTTACACTCCTAAGTTTGTTCAAAAGCTAAGTGTTGTAACGGTTATCGTTAGTTGAGCAAACAATGCCACATACTTATTTGACCAGCAAGTACCTAACAATAAGGTCTGTTCTCAAGTGTTTAGTTGGAACTGTGAACTCACCTGGAATTGAGCAATACTTTTCAGGGAGCTAGGACAAACGCCGAAATTAGGTTTCAGGGTGTGCGACTCAGCAATAAGGCATACTCCAACGTGAGTTTTGTCCTTAATTATTTTCCTTATTTGGAAATACGGTCACATGAGAAAAACCTCAAACTACCAAGTACCAAAAGATGAACATGTGAGAAATAATTCTCTTTGATTTTATCGGACTTAACATCAAAACACTGCATAAGTTGACAGTGATATCGTTTCAATAAATGAAGGCCCTCCAGAGAGACTGCAAGCCTGCATTTAGCGCGATTAGTTAATTTAAAGCCATGCAAAAGTAGCCAAAATTATATTTGCCATGATGTATCTGATGAAATAACGCTCATTTATACACCACCATTTTCCCCCGTATTTAGGAGTGTGACAAACCAAAAGACTTAATTCAAGATTTTGTGGACTACACGAATAAGCCGAGTATGTTGGCTGATTTTAACACAATCAACATTTCTACGTGCGGTGATGCACCACAAATGAAACAAGTCAGCATGATGTAACTACTGCCTTTCAGTATCCAAATACCGAATTATTCAACGCGAAAAATTTTTGCGCGTTTTGTGTTCTTTAGTCATGATTCGTAAAAAAAGTTTAAATGAACATACTTCACTTCATGAGAAAGCACTCACTGAAGTCTATGGAGTCGATTTATTAGGTCGGGCCAAAATGGAACCGTCAGCAGTTAACAAGGTACGATTGCTGAACTGAGGCCCCTAAAAAATAAAGGTTGACTGAGACAGAAGCTCTATCAGATGAATCTACGATGCCAACTTAATAGCCTATATATCAGTCTCTGAGCGTGCACAATAAGACTGAAGTCAAAACATCTAAAGTAAGCATCGAGCTTTACCTTATTTTGTTTGAATAGATAGGCTATTCCACCGGTCAAACTTGATACAGCTTTCTCTTTAGCGCCCAACATAACCGGCAGGTTCAACCTACAACCTTCGACATCGATCCCCCGACTCTGCATTTCTGACGAATGGGCCATGTGATACAAATAAGAATTGTTCAGGAGTGCTTTGCTAGGAATACAACCAACGTTAAGACACGTCCCGCCAAGAGTATCATTCTTCTCAACACAAACAGTCTGCAAAGAAATATGACGACTGGAAGTGCATTAACCTTCAAACCCAACTGTGCAGCTTTTATCGAAGCGACATAACCACCAGGACCAGAACCAATAACAACGACATCGGCCTTAAAACGGTTGACTGCAAATAAAACATGATGTAATAACGCTACCAGTAGTTGATAAACACCGCGAAACAGACCTGAAAGTTGTTCTTATTCCATTAACCTGAAAGCAAGCATGAATAACTAAAATTCGGTTCATACAGTGAGCAACCTGACCATCTGATAGAAACTTCAGACACAAACGGAGTCGTAGCGATAACGTCGAAGTTTGCGCCTTCCAATATCCAATATCCAATATTGACAGTGCGAGCGTAGAAAATTGGTAGTTTTTGATCTCTCGCGTCTAGTTCTTAGGGCTTGGTTCGGGTTGTTCGGTTCATTCCTGCAGTGGACGGGGAAATCCCCTCTGTTTTCTTGCTTTTAGCTTCGGTTAGGTGGATGTTTTTTGGGTTAGTAAGTTGTAATTTGTAGAGTGATTGGGGAGCTACGGGTTGCTGGGACGTTTAGAGAACTGCCTTGACTCCTGTCTGTGTAGGTACCTGAAAGAGAATAGCAAGGTAGTGGTAAAGAATGAAGAGAGAATTAAAAAAAGAGAGGAAAAAATAGTGATAATATAGGGAAGAGAAAAGGGAAGGAGAAGAAAAGGAGGGGTGAAAAGAGAAATGAGAACGAAAGAAAAGTATTTGGGAATTGCGCGAATGGTCGCGTGGGTTTGGTTCCTACAGAAGAATTAGTAGGTAATGTGGGTGTATTAAGGAGGGAGATAGTGAGTGGTAGTTAGGAGGGAGTTGGGGGTACTGAGGTTGGTGACTACCTGAGTACGTCCGTGGTAGTCCATGCGAGGTGACATAACTGTCTAATCGCCTCTTGAATGAGTCGACTGAAGGAGCTATAACGATATGTCGCGGTAAGGCATTCCATAAAGCACATACTCTTAGGGAGAAAAATTTGGACCTGAGTATGGTGTTGGCTCTCTGGTGTGCTATCTTAATGGGGTTTCCTCGTGAAGATCGTTGAGTTGCAGGCAAAATTGATTTGTTTGCATGGTCTGCCTGATGGGCGATCTTGTATGCCATAATGAGGTCACCCCTTTTCCTGCGATAACCCAAGGTAAATAGGTTTAGGTGTTTAAGTCTTTCAGGATACGTCTTTCCCCTTAGCCCCACAACTGATTTTGTTGCAGTTCTTTGTATTCTTTCAAGGAGATTAGAGTCTCTCTTGAGTGTTGGAGGAGCCACCGTATTGAAGACCTCTAGGTGCGGCCGCACGTAGGATTTGAAAATGGTGAGGAAGAGTTCGGGAGTGAGGGCGCCAAGCTGTCTACGCAGAAAGTGTAGAATGGCGTTCGCTCTGGTTGTCATACCTTTGTAGTTGGAGCTGGTGTCCAAGGTGTCGGAGAAGTTGAGCCCCAAATCTTTCTCCATGGACACTCTGGTGATAGCACGGTTGCTCAACATGTACTGGAAGTCGGTCGTACTTGCTTCATTTTTACTGATGTGCATTACTTTGCACTTTTCCAGGTTGAAGCTCAGGCCATTTTCCGACGACCAGAGCTCGAGTTGCTGCAAGTCCTTTTGTAGTGCTGTACAATCAGCTTCTTCGTTTACCACCCTCCAAATTTTTATGTCGTCAGCGAAGAGGAGGATGGGTGAGGATATTTTATCTGGCAGATCGTTGACAAACAGGAGGAACAGAAGCGGTCCTAGGATTGCTCCTTGGGATACTCCTGACGTCGAGGGTCTCCACTCCGACCTTATTCTGTTCACTTTAGTGCAGAACTGCCTCCCTTCCAGGTACTCCTTGAACCAAGAGAGTAGGGGTCCACTTATACCAGCTGACATGATCTTGTGAAGCAGTACTGTGGGTGGGACACTGTCAAATGCTTTGGCTAGGTCGAGAAATACAACATGTACCGGTTTTCTGTTATCCCAGCTTTGTGTCCAGTCGTCCCAGGCGGTTAGTAAGTTGGTGGCACATGAGCGACCACTCCGAAAGCCGTGCTGAGCAGTATGGACAGTGTTTTCCCTATTGAGGAATTCCCAGATGGTGTCAGCTACCAGGCTTTCCAACACTTTCGACACAATAGGGAGTAGAGCAATTGGCCTGTAGCTGCCAGGGCTTTTTCTGTCTCCTCCCTTGAAGATGGGTGACAAGATGGCCTCTTCCATTCTTTAGGGAGTTTGCACGAGTCTATTGAGTGCTCAAAGAGGTTGCGAAGTGGTTTAGTAAGCACCTCGGCGCAGTTTTTCAGAACCACTGGTTTTAGGTTATCGCAGCCAGGGGACTTGCCCGGACGTAGCCTAGATAGCTTCTCGAACACCTTTTTCTCTGTAATAGAGACGTGACAGAGGTATTCGTTATTTACGACCTGGTCGGTGTCGTAGCGAGTCGGTGTGGATCTTGTGTCAGTGCTGAGTTGGGCTTGGAAGTGTGAGCTCAAAAGCTCGGCAATCTCTAGACTGCCTAGTACACTCCCGTCATGGCCTGTGACAAGATTCACTCCCTTACTGGTCGACTTTCTTCTCGACATGAAGCGGTACAAGTTTTTTGGGTTGCTTTGTAACCTCCGCCAAGTTTGTTTGATAGGAAAATCTGTCGCTACGCACTCTAATGTTACAGCGGTTGCGAATCCTTTTGTAGTTCAAGAAGTCAGACTCCCTGCGTGATGTACGCCACTTGAACCAAGCCTGCTTCTTGCTCTGGATAAGCCTCTCTGTCCCACGCTTTAACCATGAGGTTCTCACTGATTGTCTGTGTGTTACTTCTGGTACACTGTGACTGATGGCCCCAGTGATTATTTTCTTCACCTCCAACCAGTCTTCATCTATTGTGAGACAAGCCCAGTCTACCGCCATGATGCATTCATGAGGTAGTCCCTCATGGTCTCATAGTTGGCCTTGCTGTAGCAAGGGAAGGTGTTGGACGTCTTCAGTTGCAGAACCTCCCTAGTTACCATGGGGAAGGTGATTACAGCGTGGTCACTGAGGCCAAGGTGTAGCACTCTTATGGCCTTCAATCAAACGGTTGTTGATGGAATAGAAGAAGCTTTCGCTCATCTGGCTTCCGCGCCCACAATCCGCAGATCACTACTTCTGGTGGTTTTTAACCTGTGTACAAGTAAAGGAAGAGGAAAACTCGTCGGTTAAAATGTGAAAATTCTATTATTTCTGGATAGATCTCAAACGCACGTCAAGCGGGTATCCAGTAGGCGTTTAAGGGACTCAGACGAAGTAGCCTGGACCACATCTTCCAGAAAAGAGTTCCAGGGTTTAACAACCCTTAGGGAATAGTAGTTTTGCCTAATATCTAAACTACTCTGTTCCAGCCTCAGTTTCCTTATGTGTCCCCTAGGAATAATGCTACAGATAAGGTTGAATGAATGACGGAGTGGGTGGTCAGGCACGCTCAGAATGTTGTGAGTCATTATGAAGTCTCCCCTTGGCCTTCTGTATTCCAGAGGATACAGATCCAGTGCAACCAGTAGTTCTTCATATGTTTTAGACCTAAGTCCTGGAACAGATTTTGTCGAACGTCCCTGGATGTTTTCTAAGCTGAGTTTGTCCTTCTGGAGGGAAGAGGAAAAGATGATGGTCCCGACCACCAGGTGGGGCCGTATGAAGCTGTTGAAAATTTGGTGGGAGCATCTACGATGGAACTGTCCGAAAATTCGTCTAAGAACAAATGACGCCAAGTTTCCGCGAAATGCGCATCTATCTTAGCTAACATAGGGTCTTAAGTCTTGAGGGACTAAGACGCTCAAATGCTTCTCTGCCAGTGACTCTCTAATTCGTCGCCGTTGAGGCTCTATACGCGAGATGAATCGTGCTTCACGTGTATCACCTTGCGTTTTTCAGGACTAAGTACCAGCCCGTTGCTGAGTGCCCAGTTATGAAGTCGGATTAAGTCTTCCCGTGAAGAAACATTGTCCTCTTCGCTTTTGATTTCTCCCTAGAGTTTTACGTAATCGGCAAAGAGGATTTCTGAGGAAAGCTGTTGAGGCAAGTCGTTTATGTATGGTTAAAAGCAGAAGCCCTAGTACTGAACCTTGGGTAATGCCACTAGGACATTCCTTTTCTTCGGACACAGAGAAACTCACCGCAACTCCAAATGAATGGCCTCGTAGATTAGAAGACAACTAGCCAGTGAGTGGGGGTCAAATCCCAAATAATTTCACTTTATCAATAGGGCAATCGTGATTCACACGATCAAACGCTCCAGCGAAGTCTTGGTGGATAACACCGATTCGTACTCAGCGGTCGGCAATGCTGGTCCACCTATCTACTAAAATGAGTAGATCGGTAATGCAGAGGTGCTCATTTCGCAATCCACATTGCTAGGGTGCAAAGAAGTTGATCTTTGTGAGGTAATCCCTCAGTCTATCGCATATAAACGATCCCTTTGCGTCAGAAGGAGTGGATTGAAGTCTCGTCGGTCTGCACTTCTTTGGATTGCTTCGCTGACCCCCTTTGAGGGTTGGCTTTATGTGGCCCAGCTCCCAATAGTTGGGCACTATCCCCTGACTCAGAGACTTCTTAAGTAACTTACTTAAAGGTTCGAGCAAGATTGAAACTCCCCGTCGCAGTGCCACTGGATGGACCTTATCTGGTCCCGGAGAGGTGTCTTTGGTGAGCAGTAGCAGTTTGCGCAGCTCGACGCTTAGGTCAACGGCCGAGAGTCCTACTTCGTTAGTGGGATATTCGTAAGCTCCTGAGTAGGTGGACGGTGACGAAAAGATTAGCAAGTACTGGTCGTCCAAGAGTTCAGCTGCTTCACTGTTGCTATTAGCCAGCTCGTTCGCACCCGGTGGTTGGGAGACTCCCGCTTTGGCCTGCCGAAACGAAGCAGCGTAGCGGAAGAGACTTCTCGGGTTAGAAACAAACATGTTTGTAAACCTGACTTGGCGCCGCTGCCGGCCGGCTCACAATGCCTTCGTACATGTGTCTGGAAGTGCGTTAGGTGCCGGTCCTTTTGTGTTCAGCCCAGTGTCGCCTCTTCAACCTAAGTAGCTTGTCAGTGTGGTTCCCTATTACCCTAGGTAACTTGAAGCACTTCGGTTCCGAAGGTGAAGCAGACTGACTGATCGCATGCATGATCTTGTCAAGTATGAATCCCCAATGGGTGTTCACATCTTGCTGTACATGGTTAGCTTCCCAGTCTATCCGTTCCAGTACGGCTAGAACGGCCGCTTTCATTTTTCTTTCACTTTCCACTTTCACATGTTCTTTTGGAAAATACAGTGGACTTAGAGTGTCTGAGCTCCACTTACTAGG